AATCACATTACATCCGAAGGGGCGCAGAGTGAGCGATAGGAGCAGAGTCTGGCGTCGATTCGGAAACTTTACCTCCTACACCCCAAACTCGGTGGTTATAGGCAAGCCCTGGGCTAAGGATGGTTATAGGTGTTATAAGTGTAAGTGGTGCATAGAGCGTTTCACAGTGATGGTGGAGCCGAAATAAAGCCGAAAAGAAGAACCAAGAAAAAACATTGAAAACGCTAGAATTGAGGGCCTGAACTTCCCGTAAGGTTTTTTTTTGACGGAGAGACAGTGCGATCAGAGAAGGCAAAACACGCAAGTGAACACGCAGGAAGCACGCTGTACATCAACCGTTGTGGGTGGGATGGATGCAAGGGGGTTATCGGTCACAAGTCCGTAGCCAACTTCTCAGTGAGTAAGGTGAAATCGGAAGCCAACACTGCGATAGGAAACTATAAACTATAAACACGCTGGAGTAGACATTTATTTGAAGTATTTCATGAATATCTAAGGCTTCGAGTTGTTCAGATTACGCACGACATCTGTCATCCACTAGAGAAAGCTACTGAAACTCGACTTTGTCGAGCGTGCCTTCGTCCACTTGCGACTACGGACCTGTGATGGAGACTAGAAGACGGCGGTTCAACGGCCGTCTGTACATATATGTTCAATAGGATTGTAAATTGCACACACGTAAATAAATGAATACGACTTGAGCAAAATCAACAATCTTTTAGGATCACTATTACCGTATTATTTGCACAGATTTTACACTACTCGGAGTCCACCGTAATCCACATATAAAAGGGGGAGGAACACACGGTCAAAGTTACAACGATCACGATCGCGTACGATTTGAACGTCTAACACATGGATCCAAGTAGTTACAAATGGTGCCTAACAACGTTTTAAACTGTTGAGATCGAGTACTGACAGCAGGATCTGCTCCACCCATAATCACGCCCATGCAGTAGGGTAGTCCTGAGTAGCCCAAGACTATCCTCACTATCATTCGGGCTACATCCAATTCTTTGAACACTGAAATGAGTGCAGCTACAGAATGCTTGTTTCCATTATTAGGCCTACCAGTTTAGCTCCGCACGCAACCGCGCGCATCAAATGGTGGGCTTTAGTGAAACTGGACAACTTGCAGAATATTAGGTCACGTGACTGAGAAACTAACAGTAAGATGTTTTGGAAGATGTGTCACATGATGTTTAAAGGTTGTCCAGTTTCGCTGAAGATTGTCGCGTAATGCGCGCAGTAGCATGCGGAATGAAAATGGTACTTATCATGACTTCGTAAACATTTAGCATTGATATCGAGCTCGGGCGATTTAGCGGTTTATAGAATTCCCACAATTGAAGAATCGGTGTGTAAGTGGAATATAACCAATCAATCAGCATCAACCGATGATGGAAATTGGAAATATGATTTTATTCGCTATTAGTCCAAGTCCAGATAGTGGAGCAGCTCAACTTCCTTTGCTTTTTTTTTGATGAAAGGGTTGAAATTGAGGAATCTGTTTCAGTTTAACCGAGTGCACACTCAATTGTCGCTATTTTTATTAGTGCACCTGCCTTTCATACCCCTTTCTGTCACCCACATTCACCGTATCTCCGTCCCATCTTGTAGCGTGTAGGAGCTAATATTTACTGTCACCACGAAGGCTGTCACCAAAATCCTAACTTCTTTATCAACCGTTACGCTTGTCATCACTTCTGGTCATCCCCTGTTTTCCGTGTTCCCGTCCCATCCCCTATGCCACATGTGAGAGCCAAGGTTCCAATGTAATCGCAAGGGCCGCAACGAAAACTGGTGGTATCCACACTTTGACGCCCCTTATCAGTTCTTATCAGTTGCTACCACATTCTGTTCACTCCAACTTCTTGGTCCCTGCCTCACCCCTACATAATATTCATGAGTGCGAACATCTTAGGATCAACGCAAAGGGCGTTGCGAAAATGACGACGTTAGCATTCCGTATTCTATCGTCATGTTCAATGACGATTTTGATGATTCGGCTCAGATGATCTCTTTCACCACGAACACCAACGAGTATCGGCACATATTCCAGTGCATTTTGGAACCATGAAATCGCGATGAGTCCGCTAAAATTTTGTTCCATAAAGTGTTCTAAGACAAGTTACCACTTTCAATTACAATTGAGTACGGAAAATCTTCAGTTGGATATTGTCAGAAAATCGCTTACCAAACAACGATGGCACCGACAGGGTCCGCATAAGGCCAGTAATAATAGCCTATTGTGGCACAACTGATGGCCACCAGTGAGGTAATGACGTCATTTCGCATGTCCATTGCAAGCACCTAAATTAATGTCTTGACTATACTAATACCTATTTAGTTTCCAGTGAATAGGACGAATGACGCGTGCTTAGTGAGAGAAAAAAATCTCCACCGATTGCGCGCCACGCACTCCATTTCCACTTGGAATCGTTGGACATTTGAATGAGTACATATTTGTTCCACATCTCGTGTATTTCTAGGTTGAACGCTGTTGAAAGCGGCCTTTTCCTCGTGTTGCCCAGAAGCGCAGCATAAACAACTTACCGAAGAAGGGAAGAGGTCCTTAGCACCTCCATCCACTTTCACATTGTAGGCGGAATTCACTATTAGATGGCAGCCAATTCGAATACGGTGTGGTCAGTGGTGCCGAGATGAAGAAAAAACCATGAGAAACGGCCCAGAACCCGAGAAATGGACCCCTTCCTTGCCCGTTGATTCCGCATTGATGCGACTCTCATCGGTGCTGCCCTCTTCAACGCTAACGCTCTCTCTGCTGAACGGCTAGAGACCTGCGGCGAGTGTTAACCAGTCTGTGCACCATAGCGTCGCAGCGAGGGCCATGCTAGGTCGCAGGTCTCGCATCCTTTCCGGGAAATAACGTGTCGGTCGACACCCTTAGGCCGATGTCAGACTTTGCGAATCGCGCGATTCGCTAGCGTCCGCGGTCGCGTTGCGGTACCAGCCAATTGAGTGATTCACTGGCCGCGGACGCTAGCGAATCGCTCGATTCGCAAAGTCTGACATCGCTCTAGGGGGTCGCCTAGGGGTCTTAACTCTAGGTAAGTTTCCCTTCTTCGACCTTTGAGCTCACCGGGAAATGATTCTTTACGCAAGTGACTGTACGAAAATTCCAAATGAAAGTGAATGTGAAGTGCTCAAACAGTACTTCGATTCTTTAATGGACTTATCAAATGATGAATATGAATTTTTAACAGACCTTCGACGAAGTCGATCCTCTTTTATAACACACCACCATGAAAAGTGTCTTTAGAAGTGATCCAAATAACATTATCACTATTATGTATATGTTCACTTCCGGGGCTACCTGAAATGATATTTGATGTT